GCCAGGTTGCAGGAAAACCGGGGCGTTGAGTGCCACCCAGGCGCCCTGCACACGCCCAGTAAATGCAGGCGGCAGGACCCGCTGCACTGTCCAAAGCGGGCAGTCTTTCCCCCGCCCCCTCGGTGCCCAGGCACGGCCCGGGCCCCAGCATTTATTGAGCCCCTGCTGAGTTCGCCGCCCCCCGAGCCACTTACTGAAATAGAAGCCGCGGTCCCCACAGACAAACTGGAGGGTGTCCACCAGCTCCCCGCCGCACAGGGTCTCACTGGGGCGGTAAGCAGCGAAGCAGCACGAGGCGATGGCCAAGAAGGTAAACGACACCAGCACCGACTTCCCCACTGGAAGCGCCATGGGACCTGCGGGAGAGGGGGCTGAGTGCCACCTGCCCGCGGCGCGGACGGGGCCAGCTGCCCTCCCAAAGCACGGCTTCCTCCTTCACGCCACGCTTCTAATTAGGAAATAAAGTGTTTCAGCGGCTGTCGGGAATTTCGTGTGGGGCTCGGCCATTCGCAGAGCGGCGGGGACCGGCGCTGGACACTGGACCTGGCCCCCATCCTGTGATGTCACGAGGGCGGGGCCAGCACAGGGCAGCGGCCACTCCCGGGTCTCCCAGCCACAGCCAACATGGCAGACAGCCCCACCCCGCACACAGCCTGTGCATCCCAGAGGACCCAGCAGCAGGGGGGGTCCTGCCGGAGGGGGGGCGCCCCGCCCTCCGGGGCTGTGGCTGAGCAGAGCCCCGTCGAGGGTCCAGCGGTCAGCATGACAGGGCCCGCCTTGCGCTCCCCACACGCCCAGTCCCCCAACTCCAGGCTGCCCCGGGCACCCCGACGCAGGCAGAAAAGTCGAAACCTCAAAGCCCTCTCCCAATCTGGGGTACCATACCCCACCCGGGGTTAGGCCACCTGGAGGCCAGACACCAAGTCCGCCTTGGAAGAAGGGGCAGGTCTGGGGACACACCCCCTCGCCCGGGCTGTGCGGCTGCAGGTCCCTTAAGGAGCGCGGGGCTCGGGAGGGGACCTCGGCACAGCCAGGAGGTGGGAGCCCCCCAGGCGGGCAGCCCCAGCCTGTCCTCTGCAGACCCAGGTAAAAGCCCTTTCTGGGGGCGCGGCGCCTCTGAGTCCACTGGCACCCTGGTGCTACCCGAAGGAGGCGGCTGATGTGCCCCTCCCAGGCTCCACACCCGGTGGGCACGAGGGGGCCCCCCAGCCTGGGTGGGGACCGCTGGGTGCTGGCCCAGGCGGGCTCCCTTCTCGATGCAATAAGTCGAGCAGGCGAGGGGAGGTGAAAAAGCAGCAGCTTTGCTTCATCAGCTCGCTAGAGAGCCGGGGCCAGCTCCGCGGAAGGGCGCAAGGTGCCACCTCGCCGGCCCCTCGCTGCCCTGGACTGGACCTCAGCTGGTCCCCCTGCTGCCCCCCTTCAGAATCAATGTGCCCAGCTAGTGCCTCGGCCCCGGCCACGCCGCTCCATCCCTCCGCGCGCCGGCCCCTCTCGCGT